GTCGTGCAGCACGACAGATTTATGGGCATATAGGTAAGTTCACCGGGAAGAAAACGTTCAGTTCGAACAATAAGGCAAAGACCAAAAATATCGCGTATAATATCAGACAAATGATACCTACTTTCTTGTTCAAGTGATACTTATAGAATGCAGTAACTGTATAAAAGGCTATTACACACACGATAATCGAGAATACACTGAAACGTAGAGCACCCGAAACGATCACGATATCCTTTTTGTCCAAAATGATCTTGATCATCCACGGTAGACCGAGACAAAGCAGGATGTCGAGCGTGTTCGCACCTAATGTATTGCTCATAGCCATATCACCGTTGCCTGCGGGGAAATAAAATCGATTTGAAGTGAAGTATTATCACAATAGATCGTTGGCAATTTTTTTTTTTTTCAATTGATTCTTTCATTCTGATGTTACTTGGAGATCTCACCTTGTCTGGACAGTATGATGATCGAGACGAGTTCCGGCATATTGCCACCGGCGGCTTGGAATGTGATACCCATCACGGAATCCGGAATTCCAATGGTATCGCCAAGGACGGTCGTCATCCATGACGTCAAGTAGGAGGATACCGCGATCCATATGACGCACATGATGAACGTTAGGAAGTACCAGTTTTTCCATCGTTTATATCTGCTGTCCGGTATCGTAACGAACAAAAGTAATCTCAAAGGCCATACGAACCAGAACCAGATTTTGGCTAGTGTATCGCCAGTCGGCCATACAAAGGGAGTATCTGATGAAATGAGTGTCCATAAGAGATAGCAGTTTAATCAAGCGGTTTATTAACATGATTATCTTATCGTAATATCGTAATATCTGTTTAAATCTAATCACTTGGATTGCGTATGACAGAAATATTAAGCGTATGTATGTATGTATGTATGTATGTTGTACCTGGTTCTACATATTCCTCCACTTTTGCCACGTGATCCTGTGCTTCTATACCATTAGTTGAAGGATTCCTGGCTACACTTTTTCTATATTCCGCTACGAGTTCACCATGAAAATATGGTCTATAAAGGCCGTCAGGCATTGGCTCTTCATTGCTTTTAGGAGCTGTCGAATAACAAAATGCAAAATTCATACATGGTCCATGTGTGTCTTTCTTGAAGTCTTAGATGAACACATACACGGTTATACTCAACTACGGCACAACCTGTCGACAAGTATTACAAATGTTAGCGAAGAAAAATATCACGGAAAAATGAGAATTTCTTGACCGT